TTACTTTTGTGGTGTGATACCTTAGCTTCTGACTTTTTGATAGGCCAGTTCTTATGACTGATAAAATATAAATTAGACTTTGATAGTAATTGTATTGAATGCTTGAATGGTGCATGTCCAATAAATAATAGTGCTCTGTTATTTGTTAATTTGAGATTCAGCCATTTTATAATATATTAGGAAATGCTTGGTTTCATCCTAAATGAAGATGATACATCCTTATATCATATAAAACAGTAACAACCAAAGTTCATCTGTTTTCTTAAAGCAAAAGATACATCAATATGCTTTATTTATACTATATTATTTGCTGTAAATAATGTAAAAATTGATCCAATTTGAAGTGGTTTTTTTTTTTTTTTTTTTTTTTTTTTTTTTTTTTTTTTTTTGCTTTGTCCTCAGAGAGCAAGTCAAAAGGCCTCCAGTGGATAATAGATACAACTATAGCTTATCCCAAAGCTGAACCCATAGATATTCAAACCTGGATCCTTGGATACAGAAAACCAACAGTCACACATGTACATTACAGGTAAGAGTTTTGTGTTAGTACTCAGCATATATCCAACTTAAAGTATTATCTCAAGCAGTGTTTTAAAATTAAATTTTTAATCAATAGTGAAAATAGTTGGCTCAAAATCATTTTTATGCTGAATTTTTAATATGAAAATATCATTTGAAGTAGTTATTTTCACTGAGTGATAAAAGTCTCTCAAAATGGTATTCTAGAGGCAACTATGATTACTTGATGGCCTGACACTCTGAGCAAGGGTGATTAAGGGCAAACATCAAACATAAATATATACTCATTTGGGCAAAGTAGATTTGTATGAATAGAAATGAAATTTGTTTTTAAGTCATTAAATCACATAAGATTTTCCAAATGATTAAATTGAGAATTTAGCTGAAACTTATACTTTAACATTTTTAGTATTTTAATATTTAACATTTTAACATGTTCATTTGCATAAACAACAGCAAAAACATTTATTGAATATTGCAGCTTCTTGAGATTTTTAAAAGTAGATTGCTTTTTAAAAAAGAGTATCAGGGGCGCCTGGGTGGCGCAGTCGGTTAAGCATCCGACTTCAACCAGGTCACGATTTTTTTTTTTTCTTTTTTTTTTTTCGCGGTCTGTGAGTTCGAGCCCCGCTGATGGCTCAGAGCCTGGAGCCTGTTTCCGATTCTGTGTCTCCCTCTCTCTCTGCCCCTCCCCCATTCATGCTCTGTCTCTCTCTGTCCCAAAAATAAATAAACGTTGAAAAAAAAATTTAAAAAAAAAAAAAAAAAAAAAAAGAGTATCATGTAAATGTGTGTAGGTATTTATATCAAAGCATGATGCTGATGAGGCTTGGATAGATTTGACCGCTTTATAAGCCATTTATCTTTACTGTATTTCCTGGCCAAAGATCTCACTCAACCCATGGCAGCTAAGTTACAAACTGAGCAGTTGGTCCACTGAAAGATCACAATTGCCACAAAAGCCCTCAATTCAAGCGGAAAACTACTCAAATTACATACTCACTGCATAGATAGGTACATGTTTTCATATATATAAACCATCATAGTTTTACACATAGAAGTACAAATTTGGAATAATTTGAAACTAAAATTTTAAAACTTAAAATTAAATGTTACAATTTGCGTTTTTGGTGTGTAAGAGAGGACTATAAAATTACAGTTGAGTCCACTGTGTGACTTACGTTGCCAAATTATGAAGTTCATGTGTAAGATAAGAAGTAATTCTTGAGAACTGTACTGACTACATTTCACATGTGTTGTCCACTTTACTTACGGAGCACTTACTATATATAAGGCAGTGTGCCAGGCCCTGAAAGAATTTCTCCAGGAATGGTTTTATTTTCATATAGAAGAGGCTTATCTAGCCTTCAATAAACTTTTAAATTGTAATCTATAAATGAAGCTCAATTCTGATGCCCAAGCAAAAATACATGACTGTTGGGTGTATGTTCTGGACATGTGTAGATTGTATTTGAGTCAGATATATGTAGATCTTCCTAGCACATCATACCCAAAAGGAACTGAGACAAGGAAGAAAATACTAATTACAGAGGCATTCTATTATAGTTCACCCTGCTTTCTTTTTTAACCAATAAGTAGAAAACAGTTTTATTTTATGGATTAAAAAATGAATGGAATAATAAGGGATCTTAGAAATTCAAGAAATGTCAATTTTTAGCAAAATTGTTTTACCAGAAGTAAGTGCAAGGTCCTTAAATTCACTTGAAGCAGGAGTTCTTAACTGTGGGTCTCATGGATGAACCTGAGAATTTTTCTTTTTTGCCTTCAAAATCAGATGTTGTTTTAATTTTTTGTATTTATTTATTTTGAGAGAGAGAGACAGTTAGATCAAGTGAGGGGGGAGGGGCAGAGAGAGGGGGAGAGAGAGAATTCCAAGCAGGCTCCACACTGTCAGCACAGAGCCTGACGCAGGGCTCAAACTCGAACTGTGAGTTCATGACCTAAGCTGAAACCAAAATTCGGACACCCAACCAATTGAGTCACCCAGGCGCCCTAGATGTTGTTTTAATTAAAAAAAATTTTTTGAGTATACTTGACAGACATACAGTGTTACGTTAGCTTCCGGTATATACCATGGTGATCCAGCTTCTCTCTACATTATCCTCACCACAAGTGCAGCTACCATCTGACCTCAGAGAATTTTGAATTTTTCAACTCCTTCTCTATACAAAATGTTCTAGATGTATGCAGTTTTCTGCAGAGAAGCTTCACAGATTTCAATCTAGTCTCAATATAGATTAAGGGTTTAAAAAAAGATTAATGACCCCTGATTTAGAGATCAAAACCAAATAGTAAATAGAAGAGGTGGGATGGTTAGTTTGATACAGAAAAATACTTCTGTTGATAAAAGTGAAGCTTCTCAGAAGTATATTTGACTATAGAAATTTTATTGCCGACATAGAAATAATAAAGAAAATTCTACACTTGATCTTAGCCAAAAGGCCGAGAAGCGATAAGAAAATTCTAAAATATTAGATTAGCAGAGATGAAATCATGATACAGAACCATATCCTGAAATAGTAATTACAATACACATCATGCCCAGTTATTTATTTATACACACACACACACACACACACACAACACAAACACACCCCCTAGGAGTCTCGTGACAGGTAAAGAGATATACTGTTGGGTTTTTTTTTTTTTATGTTTATTTATATTTGAGAGAGAGAGAGAGACAGTATGCGAGCTGGGGAGGGGCAGAGAGAAATGGAGACAAAATCTGGAGCAGGCTTTGAGCTATCCGCAAATGACCACACTGTCAGCACAGAGCCAGACATGGGGCTAAAACTCACGAACTGTGAGATCATGACCTGAGCCAAAGTCAGATGCTTAACCAACCGAGCCACCCAGACACCCTGAGAGATACACTGTTCTTTACAGAAATTTAATTAAAAAAATTTATTGTCTAACCAGTGTTAGGAAAAGGGAAGGACTTAAGTTCAGATGGGAAAGAGAGGGGAAGTGAAAGGGGCAAGAAAGAGTGAGGTGTCTTGGCATCAGGATAGTTTTGAGATTTGCAAGAAGCTTGTGAGAAGGGATGTGGGCCATGTCTGTGGCAGCTGCCAGGGACAAATCTCTATCACCCACGGGTTGACTAGGTCTCCGCCTGTATTGTTCGAGGCCATCTGGACACCCTGGGAGATAGGGAAAGAAAGATTGGTTTTTTGTTTTGGTTGGGGTTTTGGGGGGGAGTTGTCCCCCCCGCCTCCAGTTTTCTCAATTCTAAGATAAACTGTTTATTGTTTATCATGGAGTTTTCCTGGCGGGAATAACACCATAGAAATTAAAATAAATTTAAACAAACATGGTACTCCTTACTCATTTTTTTTTTTCCTGTTCTCAGAAAGATTGGTTTTTGTTCCAGCACTCCAGTTGTTTGGTTATATTTTAAAAGTTTTAAACAAGGATGAGATGTTTCCAGTTAGAATAAGAGACTTAAAATGCGACATTGGAAATCACGTATATACAAATGTGAATAGTGTAAATAACTGAGGTTAAATCTTTCTCTTTTACTGTGGGGTGGTTGGCAAGAAAAACTAAACAGCGCTGACTACTTAAAGCAGGGAACAGGTGCCTTGAGAGATGGAAAAGGTGCTCAGGAAACTGTATAGGCAGATTTTAAAATTATTAGTGAATGTACTTTTTCCCTGAAATTTAGCATAATTTTTCCAGAACTTTTCTACTAAGCCATATGTACAAGCCAATTTTGTTTCGTATCATTTAGAAAGTATTTATTTTCTTCCTAGCTCCAGCTGACTTTTTCTTTTAATAAAGCACCACATCAGTCTTAGAGAATTTAATTGAAATGATTACTTGAGATTATGGTGTAGCTGGGCAAGTTGGTACCGTTGCTAGTTTTTTTCAGTGTGATCTAGGGTATACATGTGAGAGTCAAAAATAATTATTCCATTCTGCTCAGCATTTATCAGATGCCACTTAGAGTATTGAGTGTATTTTAATTGCTCTATTTTAAAAGAAATAATAACGGCTGGTAGAAAGTTATGAAAGTACCTAATACTGTATATATAAATCCTACAACACGACTACCACTTAAAAGACCACTTTAGATCAAATCAAAGCAAATTTGGAGTTGGTAATAATTAAATGAAACATAATTCCAAAAGAAACTACCAGTTGAAAATATAAATAGGTTAAGGAAAACTTTAACCATCAGTAACCACTAAGTCTGTAATAAGTTTCTGTATTTATGAAGTACTTTTACCACATTTTAGGTGTATTTCATGGAGGACAGCAACTGTCCTTTCCCGTGTGATACATCTGTGCCTCCGGGTGACTGGGGTAGTCTTAGAACACTGTAACATTCCTGACCATCAGAATTTACTTGTCATCATTGATTGTCATCACTTATTTAACATTAATCAGTAGTTGGGCCACTTTTTATTTCTTTGATACATTTCTTTTCTTGGAAATTATTATCAAGGCTGCCAGGTAAATTCTGCTGCCTCTTCTATACCTCATTGGAATATACAGGTGTAGGGAGATTTCTGAGCAAAAAAAGGCATTTTGGGGGTCGCATGGCTGGTTCAGTCAGAGGGGCACTTGCCTCCATCTCAGGGTCATGAGTTTGAGCCCCACGTTGATTTAGAGATCACTTAAGTAAATAAAACTTTTTTTTTTTTTTTAACATTTGTTTATTTTTGAGACAGAGAGAGACAGAGCATGAGCAGGGGAGGGGCAGAGAGAGAGGGAGACACAGAATCTGAAACAGGCTCCAGGCTCTGGGCGGTCAGCACAGAGCCCGACGCGGGGCTTGAACTCACTGACCGCGAGATCATGACCTGAGCCGAAGTCGGCCGCTTAACCGACTGAGCCACCCAGGCACCCCAAAACTTTTTTTAAAAAAGGCATTTTCTCCTTCAGAGTGATTCCAGTCATAATGTATTAGTAAAACCAAATACTTAGAAAACATTTAGTCTTTATTTAAATAAGAAAAGACTATCTAGATTACCAGAATGTACGGCA